AGTTTGAATTTCTTTCCATCTTAAGTTGTTTTTATTCTAATAATTTCTTGCATGTCTAATTTGAAAAACATGCCTTGTCCATCACTATATTTCATGTAATTGAATATAATGATGTTTTGAGAGGCATGCCTCGATCACCACTAAATAGGAATCAAAAGAAAAAGTTGGTTGCAATTGCTATTTCTATTCATTATGAAATGATGATGCAGTATGCTTATTTATGTATATTGATTGCTATTATCATTGCAATCAGGAGGAGAAGGATGATGGTCTCTAAGATATTGAATAGTTATAATGATAAGGGGATTGGTAGGGAATCACGGGTGGAAAAACTTGCAATTAGGTTTTCAGACCTTAAGTCTATGGCCATGGAATCAAATCAATCATGTATAGACCATATACGAATGGATAGGACTAGTTATTTGAGGCTATTTGAATTACTAAGGAGTGTAAGAAAATTAAGAGGTAGTAAACATGTGGGAGTGGAAAAAATAGTTGCATGCTTCCTAAACATTTTATCACATGATGTCAAGATTAGGGAGCAAAAATGGCACTTTAGGAGGTCTAGGTCCACCTTAAGCAAGTACTTCAATATGGTCTTGAATGCAGTGCTACGCCTACATGAAATCCTTCTTAAAAAACCTGAACCCGTGCCTGCAAACTCAACTGATGAAAAATGGAAATGATTCAAGGTGTGTCCATTTTTTATTTATTTTTTCTTTTTCATTACAAATAACAAACCTTTAAAGGTTAGAATTTTTAATTTTCTCTCTTATTTTATTGTATAGGGTTGTTTAGGGGCTTTAGATGGAACATATATTAGGGTCTGAGTGTCCGAAAATGATTAGCCTAGATATCGAACGAGGAAGAATAAAATTGCAACAAATGTATTGGGTGTTTGCTCTCCAGATATGTAGTTCATTTACATCTTACCTGGCTGGGAGGGATCTGTTCATGACAGTAGAGTCCTTCGTGATGCCATTTCAAGGAGAAATAGCTTAAAAGTACCATAAGGTAAAAAATGAACTATGAGAATTATGACACTATAACAAAAATTCTAATATTGATGTTTAAGAAACTAATATGTATTGTCATATTTGTTTAGGTTATTATTACTTGTGTGATGCTGGATACCCCAACAGCGAGGGATTCCTAACACTTTATAGGTAGGGGTGGCAACGAGCCGAGCTTTACACGAGTTGCTCGAGCTTAGCTCGTGAAAAGCTCGGCTCGGCTCAATTTTAACCGAGCTTCAAGCCGAGCTCGAGCCCAATTTATAGGCTCGATTAATAAACAAGCCAAGCTCGAGCTTAATAGAGCTCGACTCATGAGGTTCGCGAGCCGATATATATATAAAATAAAATTATAGAAAATAATATATATAATAAAAATATTATAATACTTAATTATTATAATTCTTATTTTTTAAATATCAAACAAAAAATATATTTTATATATAATTTTTATTTTTATAAAATATTTTTCCTCAAATCGAGCTCGAGCCAATGTGAGGAAGAAGTCTTCAATGGGTGGGTTAAGGTAATTGTGGATTATTGTATTTTATATTTTAGACAAATGTATACATCTATTTTACATGACATCCAATTTATTAATATATTTTTGTTTTGATAAATGTAGAGCCATCCATATGCCGAAGGATTAAGGAACAAGCATTTTTCATTTCTTGATGAACTTTCTATCATCTTTGGAAGAGACAAAGCCACTGAGGAGCATGCAGAAACCCCTTCTGATGTTGCAGAACTTGTTGATAGGGAAGAACAATCTAGTTACCAACCCAGGGAAGATAAACCAATTAATGAAGGAGAAGTTCAACAAGTTGGATTAGAGTTTTTTCAAGAGGATAGCATGACTTCACAATCTTCCACACAACCACCATCCACTCAACCTCTAATAGGTACTTCATCAACCTCTCGCCCTCATAGAGCAAGTAAGAGGTCAAGGAGTTGCATGGATGATGACCTGTTGGTTAAGGTGCTTTTAGAAAAGATAGATATGGTTGAACAACAGTTTGTTGAATACAATGATAGGGTTACACAAGTGACATATGCGTTAAATGTAGATAAGGAGGGTAGGGAGATGAGAATGAAAGTGTTTTAAGATATAAGGAAGATCCCTGGATTAAGTTCAGATGAGATGATCAAAGTGAGTAAAAAGTTAATTGGTGACATGGGAGAGGTTGAATACTTTTTTAATCTATCACCTGACTTTAGAAATGCATACATTTTCTCTTACCTCCTCTCTGATTAGTAACTCAATAGAACAATAGTTATCTTTTTTTAGTATTTTGATTATCAAAAAACATATAGTTAATGAATAGAAATCAAAAACATATTATATTTTTTTCCTTCTTTTTTTTATAGAACAATAGTTATCTTTTTTTAGTATTTTGATTATCAGAAAACATATAGTTAATGAATAGAAATCAAAAACATATTATCTTTTTTTTTTTTGTTTTAACATAGCAAGTTCTACTTATTCATTTGACAGGATGAACCTCTAGTTTGTCTTAAAGTCCAGATCTTTCTATGATTAGTGGTATTAAGAAAGCAAACTTACATGATTTGCTCACTTTATAAGGATTCTTCTTAACTTCCCTTTATTTCCCTTTGACCATCTACTCTTTCTTAATTATTTAATGCATTCATTCTAGGAGTTTTCCATGGATTCAGCCTTATGTTCACTCACTCTCTACATGTAAGCGGGGTTTTATAATCTATATGTTGGTGGTCATCGGATGGTAATTTGGACCAAGCTAAATGTGAATGAGTTGAAACTCAATTTCGATGGGGCAAATGGCATGAACTTATTACACAGGTTTATAAAATAAAACCTCCAAAAAAAATTTTATTTAAGCCAAAAGGGTAATGTTGGCAATAGTGTAATATATGAGTTTCTTACCCAAGAAAGTTGGTGAGACAAAAGAACATGGATAAGTTGGAGTGCCTTATCTACCTGGGTAAATTGCAACAAAAAGAACATGGATAAATTAACTTACTTGGGTAAATTTACCTAGAAAACATTTACCTGGATTAGTGAATTTACCCAAGTAAGTAAGATAGTGATAAACAAACGATGCCTAAGAATAAAATTGTTTGAAGGACAGTTTAGGGATTCAAAACTCTTATAACAACGAAATGAGAATCTTTTTTGATGATAATGGATAGAATGTTAACGGAAGGGTCTTTATCTAATGGCCAAAGCTCGGAAGGTTTTTATCGCAAAAAAAGTATAAAGGTCTGATCCCATAAGGGTAGTTTAAGAAATTTACCCTAAATAGAATAAATTTCTTAAACTACTATGGTTTAGCTAATTGAGTAATTGTACCCTTGCTCTTTGAAAATTGACTAACGCTACCCTACTGTTTCTGACAATTGACTAACTTTACCCGGTTAAGGTTTGTTAATATTCCGTCAAAATTCATTCCCACACAATATATATAATTTTTTAAAACTCAATTTTACCCTCCACTTCTCTCCCCTCTTTCTTTCTCTCTCCCCTCCTTTTCATTGATACAAGGATTCTGAGAGGAGACGATGACTTTGTCCGTTGCAACAGCATAGAGTTCACTGCCAAATCATGACTCTGAACAGATCATTGGAAGAGTTCCCTCTTGAAACTTTGAAAAAAAAAGGACAAATGATTTAGCAGTGGACTTGGGTTTTCGATTGGGCACCGGAGGTTCTATCGGTGGAGATTGGCAGTGGTGACTCCAGCAGCGAACCCAGGGAATCTTCACGAACTAAAGCATCAGGAGATAAAAGAGGCGAGTGAGTGACTTGCCGTAAGCGAACCTAACAGGAAGCTGGGCTTTCTTCTATGCTTTTCAACACTATAGGTTATTGTTTGATGTGCTGGATAGGAGATATCGGCTTTGACAATGGGAAGGGAAAGAGGGGTTTTCAAGGTTCTGGGATTCTGGCAGGTGTTGCTGCAGGGTCCGATGCCTGAGACAAATGGCAACAAGAACATCTTTTCTTATGCTTCTTAGAAACCCATTATACAAAAACAAATTCGGAAGAGAACCCAAATACAAAAAGTCCAAAAGTCCGTACCTATCTTCGACTAAAATAAACATATAGTGAAAGAAATACAAGGCCTAACAGGAATTTAGCGTGTTGATGGTTGGCTTTTTTATCAAATTCTTCCATGGATTCTTAATTTCATTATGGCTCTTGAACTATCTTTCTATCTCTCGCCGCCTCTCTACTTTAATCTTTGTTATCTGAAATTAAACTCAAGATCTAAGATGCAACAATTCAATTCAAAATTCCAGGGATCTTGTTCGGAGATGCTTTTGACAATTTTGTGGCATACACTTCCTTCGACTCGTTTTTTCTGATTTCTGCAGTTTTATTTTATTGTACCTTAGCTGTAATGTATGGTGTATGGTTTTCTGTGTTCCCCCTCTTTTGCTGTTACTTGAAATATACAATCAATGTTTCAGATTGACCTCATATTTAGCTTGATTTCTATTAGATTGGTTTAATTTCTCTGTCTTCTTATCACACCCTTAATCTTATCAGATCCAGGAGGAAGGAGGAGGCGAACGATATGATTATCTTCTGTCTTCGTTCTCAAATCCAGCTTGATTCCAGTCATCAACCATCACTTTGAGAGCAAGCAGCTGTAGTTGTCTCTGTTCTTGCAACCTTAGATGATTCTTCTCGTAATGCTGTGTTCGAAGGGACCTATAGTTTGTTTACAATGAATTGGGGAGAAAAAAAGGGAAATGGGAGGAAGAAATGGTTTAGACTGATGAAGGGCTGGGAGGGTGGAAAAGTGGATGGCTGTCTCAGTGCCCGTTCCCAGTAACCGGAGAACATGGGACAGACAGAGAGGGGGATGAGGAAGATGATAAGAAATGGCCATAACATTGTGGCGGAAAAAAACAATTCCACGTGGCATAAAAAAATCATGTGTATAGTTTAAGAAATTTACCCTAAAAACAATTCCACGTGGCATGAAGGAATTAAAAACAATTCGTAAACTAAGGGAGATTCGAGTCGAGACGAAGGCGGCCAGGACAGGACGACCGAGGAGAAGATGGGAGACGAGAAGGTGAAAGACGACGCCTTGAAGATGCTCGGTCTCTTCCAAGTTCTTCCTCGTCTAGTCGTTTTCGATCTCGATTACACTCTCTGGCCATTTTACTGGTACCTTCTCCACCATTTTTATTCTTTAGGGTTTATCCTCTCTTGTGTTCTTTTTCTTTTTCCTCTAGAAAACTGGAAAGCCTGGAGTTTTGCTATAGTTTCTTTTTCAGTTCTTTTTTTATTTATTTTGATTTTTTTTTTGAGATGTCTTAGTTGATCTCTTTAAATTGCAGTCGGTGAGAATTAGCCGTATTTGTCTCTGCTGGTTCTTTAGCGAATTCTAATATCGTTATATTGGCTAAAAGAATCCTAAATTTCGGGAAATTAGGCTTTATCACGTTCGTATCGATTATTATTTTGAGAGGACTTCGTTTAGTACCTTATCCCTGTTAGATGTTTTTCCCCTTCTTCCAGAAACGGCGATTCTGCGTGCACCATATTTAAGTTATGTCTAAGCCATATGATGATTCAGTTAATTCTCTATCAGTACATCTCCAGCAAGAAGCTCAAACTTATTCCACGTGAATGCATCTTTTCTCTTTCTTACCCAGTGGCTGTATATCAATAATTAGTCAATGCACATTCAATCTATGTAATTTATTGTTCAGTCTCAGATTGCATGTTGTTGAATTGCTTTGTGCTGCTTGTAGTGTATGTGTTGTAGTTGTATCCTCTTCTCTTGCACAGTTCTTCATTTTATTTGTTAATCATTTGCATATTAAATACAACTAACTCATTTTGAACATTAGGAACAAGTGTTGTCATTGCTCACTGCACTCTTATGCATGGAAATGTTCATAGTAGCTAGGAGCAGGATGAGATTATTATAGGACTACAATGATAACAAAATCCGAACAAATGTTTTAAAGAGGCTTTAGCTATCATATTCCAAGTTTTGTCAAAGCTAAGTGGGGTTGGACTCTTTTCCTTCTCATTCCACCCTAGGGGCATATCTTCTGTTAAAACATCAAGGTATTTTTGCACTACCCAGTCTAACTCCTTATTGGCATCCCTCTTGTCCTTGTGGAGGCTTTAAATGTCTTTTACAAATGCTTAATGAACTTTGCGTCTGATACTAATTACTCATTTTTCAGTGAATGTCGCTCCAAACGTGAGATGCCATCTCTTTATCCACATGCTAAAGGTATATTGCATGCACTCAAGGACAAAGGAATTGATGTAGCAGTTGCTTCTAGATCACCTACCCCTGATATAGCAAAGACATTTCTGGACAAATTGGGGATTCAATCCATGTTTGTGGCCCAGGTGAGCCGATCATAAAGCTTCATTTGTTTCCCATGTTCTAGATTTTATTTGCTTTCTTGCAGTGGAAGTCTTCTCCACTAGCTATTTTATTTGGTATTTACATTTATTGCAGATTGTGTGTTTTCATTGAGATTTAACCATAAGAGTTTCTTAATTCTAAACTTCTCTAGCCATCTTTATGCTTATTTTAGTACTTGAAGAACATTGTTGATTTTAAACTATTATATCTAGAATCTGAGAATCTTAGGTCATGCTTGATGCTTCTTAAATGTAGGCTACATAATTATACAATGAGCTTAATATGTTTGTGTTTAATGAAACATTGGTGTACTTTTCTTGAGACCCTTGTCTGAGTCATTGACTTAATTCTTCCCTGATCTGCATCCAAGGATATTTGTTGCATATTTGTCTCAATCAAGGGTATAAATGAATCATTCTTGTAAGTGCTTTGGCTCCTTTTATCAATGTAATGCTTTAGTGGAAGTCTAGAATGGCCAACTAGTGGCTATGTTTATTCAAGGATGCAGTTACTAATTCATCCGGTCTAGGAAAGGCTTGCTTGTTTCTTGTGATTATGCAAAGAACAGGATATCATATTCATAATAAAAAAAAAAGTCATCATGTTCTTTGGAGCTGTGGGCTGTTAGGTTTGGGCTTTATTGTGCTGAGCTGTTGGAGTGCTCCTACTTGTAATATGCAAAATATGGATACCCTCATTAAAAGGTAAAGTGTCTGTTGCGAAACATAGAGGGAGAAAAGAAGAAGATTTTCTTTATTGATAATCAAAACATATTGAGCATACAACTTAAATAAGAAAAGATAGGAAAGACAAACCCTTAGAATCTCTCTCAATCAGGGATTGACTAAATCTTTCCCTTAATCCTAGGATATGACTTTCCTAAATTTATTCAAATTTAATCTTTCCTAAATTTATTTAAATCTCTTAATCAATCAAATCATATCTTTCTTAATTTGCCGCAAATTCTATCTTTCTTAGTTTTTCGACACTCCCCCTCAAGTTGGTGCAAAGATATCTATCATGCCCAACTTGCTAACTTGAAGTTCAAATGGTTGTCTCAACAAGCCCTTAGTCAATACATCTGCAACTTGCTGCGTGGTTGGTACTAACAGAGTGCAAATTATTCCTTCTTCAAGCTTCTCCTTTATAAAGTGTCTATCAATCTCAACATGTTTAGTCCTGTCATGTAGAACCAGATTATGAGCAATGCTGATAGCTGCCTTGTTATCACAATACAGTTTCATAGGAAAGCTCACCGGTCTCTTAAGATCTGCTAGCACCCTCTTGAGCCATTGATCTGAATTCAGCCTCAGCACTACTTCTAGCAACTACACTTTGCTTCTTGCTTCTCCAAGTAACTAAATTGCCCCAAAGAAATGTGCAGTACCCCGAAGTTGACCTTCTATCAGTGATCGAGCCTGCCCAATCCGCATTTGTATACACCTCAAC